GTGATTACAGTGATATTACCAGTTTCTGTTTTGGACAGCTGCCGGCAATCTAGTGCCTTGTTTTCCTGGAAATGTGTGCTTCCAAAAGCTCACTGATCCTTGCTCACTCTGTAGGTGTGTTGCTGAGCTCACACAGGCAGGGTGAGGTCCAGTGCCACTGAGTGTCCTGGTACAATGTCTGCAGTGTCTGGTGAGTGTATCACCAACCCCTAATGAGAAATAGCAAATGGCTTGGGGCTCTTCCTGGGTTACTGGAAAGCAGGCAGCCTTTTTCCTGTCTTTTCTAGCTGTCTGTCTTAGCCTGCATGTAGAACAAGGGTTGATGCACTTCCAGAAAGCTGATTTCAAATGCAAAAATAATTTCTGTGTTCCATAGTGCTACAAACTGACAGGTGAAAACACACAACACTTCCTAACCAGAAGCCTGCAGAATGGTTGAAATACTCTTAGCACAGACTCAAGTGAGTTTACTTGAACATATGCTGTCCATGTTCAACATAGATGCAGCTGAGAAAGACTCTTGGTTCATTTTCCAAGCCTGTAAAATGTGATGCACACCAGCAGCCACTTCAGGACTTTCCAGAGGCATCAATATTTGAAATTATGTTGATGGAGAGGCACACCAAGGCATCCCAGTCATATCAGTTTGATGCCAGTGCCAGCAAGATATGCTGGCCAGCAGCAGAGCTTGGAGAGAGTTCATAGTTCAGCAGGAGAGCCCCTGAAGAGCAGCACAAAGGAATTCCAGCCACTCCAGCCCTACTTGAATGCCTCTCTGCAAGTATATGCTCATGCAAAATAAAAAATGAGGTTAGAGATGTGCACTCCTGCAGGTCAGTGATCTCACTGGCCTCACACAGACATAGTGGGATGGCTCCTGTGACTGGAGTCCTGGAATGGAAATATACTGGAAATATACAGGAAATATACAGGAAATATACAGGCTTTGAGGAAGGACAGAGGAGATGAGAAGGGGGGGGTGTCATCCTCTGTCAATGACCAGCTGTAGTGCATGGAGCTCCACCTGGGGATGGATGAGGACCTGACTGAGACCTTACAGGTCAGGATTAAAGGGAAGGACAAGGCACTTAAGAAAGCTTGTTAAAATTCAAAGTTCACTTCCTCCAAGATCAGGAGTCATGCATCCCAAAAAAGAGGAAGTGAGGCAAAAATACCAGGTGATGGATAAGTAAGGAGCAAACAAAAAAGAAGTCTACAGAAGGTGGAAGCAAGGCCAGATAGCCTGGGAGGAATACAGAGAAATTGTCTAAGCAGTCAAGGATCAGGTTAGCAAAGCTAAAGCAAGCCCAATTAGAAATAAATCTGGTCAGGGATGTCAAGGGCAATAAAAAAAAGTTCTACTGGTATATGGGTAATAAAAGGAAGATGAGGAAAAATGTGGGCCCTCTCTAAAAGGAAACAGGAGCTCTGGTTACCCAGAACATGAAGAAGGCTGAGGTACTCCATTGCCTTCTGCTTCGACCTTCACTGCTAAGTGCTCCACCCACACCACCCAAGTTGCAGAGGCAGAGACTGGGAAGAAGAATTTATACAAAATCATGGGTAAGAAAGGGAATAGCTTGATTTAGGCTTGGCTTATTTTGTCAAAAATGAAGCACATGACAATTTTATGATTCACATAAGGAATACAAACAAGCCTTTGACAGATGACTTCAGATGGAATAAACTTCCTGCTCATTCTGGTAGGTGGGAAGTTTTTAGGTAAGGCCCATCCAGCTTTTTTGTCAACTGTGTATGTAAGCTACACAGTAAATCAACCTCCAGCACTGTTTCTAGGAGGAGAAAAATTATGCATAATGTGTAGAAACTAAGGTAAATACAGCATGTTGCTTTTCAAATAAATAGCAATCACTCCATCAGCAATTCATATAATCAGTCTGTTGTAACAGGGCACTTCTGTTTAGCATGCTAGAAATGCTCCATGGAAAAAGGAACAATTCCAAAACTTCCCCAGTCAGTACTTCATCACTATTGCCTATACAGACATGTTTAAAAAAACTACATGAAAGAGGAAGAGACAGTCTTTGAGGAACGAGATCCAGTAATTTGATCAGTGTTCAGGCAGCATGTGGGGAGAAGGCAGCAAAAGATGCTTTCTGGAGAGAAACTCAGGGACCTAGCCAGGCATCAGTGAGCAGATGGCTCCATCTTTGCAGTGAAGCTGAGCAGTCTCTTCCTCCTGCTGCTGCAACACTTCTCTGTGCACATCACCAAGAGAGATGCTGTACCTAAGGAACTCTCAAGCAGACTATGTCAAGCAGGCAGAAGAACCAAAAGTGCCTCCTTATTTTTATGGTGCCACAAGAATTTTTGTTATATACACAAATTTAAAAGAAAAAATACAAGAATAAATGAATTTTGAAAACGGATCTTGGGACTGCACCAATCTCTTCTCACAGTTCTGTTGTGGTTTAACCCCAGCCAGCAGCTCAGCCCTTCAGAGCTGCTCATTCACACCCCCATAGTGGGATGAGGGAGAGAATTTTAAGAATGAGAAAACTCATGGATTGAGATAAAGACAGTTTAATAGGTAAAGCAAAAGCCACATAGCAACAAGGAATTCATTCACCATTTCCTATGTGCAGGCCACCCCATGAAGCAGAGCTCCAGCAGGCAAAACAGTGACTTGGGAAGGCAAATGACATCACTTTGAATGTTGTCCTCCTTCCTTCTTCTTCCCCTAGTTTTATGTGCTGAGCATGGTGCCACGAGGTATGGAATATCCCTGTGTTCAGTGGGAGCCAGCTGGCCCAGCTGTGTCCCCTTTCAGCTTCATGTGCAACACTATCTGTATGGCAGAGGAGTAGGACAGAGGGAACATGAGGAAGCTATGGCTGTTTTGGCTGGGAAGATGCATGAGCACAGTCACACAGCTCCAACAGGTCCATGGGGCTGTTGCAGTTCAATCAGACAAGTTCCTTCCTGAGAGGGTGAGGCACTCGGGACATGACCTGCTCCAGTGTCACAGGAGCCAAGAGAGCTGCTGGGTCTGATGATCCTGATCCCACTCCTTTGCCACCAGCTCTAGTGCATGCATGCTCTTAATTTCCTTGATTCAAAGAGCTAGACAGGAATGGTTCCAATTGCAATGCTTGGAAAGGAAAGGCCTCCGCATGAAGCAAATGTGGTACCAACACCTTCTGATTACCTTTACATTTCATCCAGTCCTCCTGCTTGCTTTAAATTAATATCTTCTTTGTCTCTTCCTTTCCAACAGCAGTTCAGCAGCCAAAAAAATGGCTGTCACCTCATGTCTTTGGTCTTAGCTGCTGGAACTTTACCGGTTCATTCTTCTTCTGTCGTGTCGACAGAATGTGCCAAGTGCAAATTGTTAATCCAAGTTTTGGTATTTAAAATCACTTCAAAGCATGGAGGAGGTACAACTTTTCTGGCTTTATAGACACAGGTGGAAATTAAGCATGGTAGCATTGTAATTGTAAGCATTGTAAGGGGCCTCAGCTTTGATTTGTTAGTGGAGTTCACAAAAAATCCAATGCACTGCATCCCAGGTCTTCTGCTGTAACTGTAGTGCCTTTGGGGCTTTCTCTAAGGACTCACAAGTGCATGAGAAGAATGTGTCATATGATGAATTGAAATTAAAATCTACTGTAAATTGTGGAAAAGGAGCATGAGGAAAGCATTCTCATAGATAAGGGAAAAGAAATGCCATGAAGAAAAGCAAATGAAAATGGGATGCTTCTTTATAGATACTATTCACAACAATTTGAAAACATCCAAAAAAGACTGTGGAGCCCATTTTAAAAAGTGATTGGACGCTGTCCCACAGGAGGGCAGTGAGACAGCACCTACTGACCATCAGTGGGACTTAGGCTCCTATCTTGGAGTTGGAGTTTTGAAAAATAATTATACCCAGTGACTTACTCAAATGTCTCATTCCAGAAAGCTTCAGGATGTACATTGCCTTTTAGCGTGATTCCAGCATGATGTAGACTCCATTTTTTGGTCCAAGTGTGGCTTTTGATTTGAGCTGCAAAGGAATCTGAAAAAGAAAAGACCATTTTATGTGCAGTTGTATGTGTTTGTTTATGTGTGTATGACACCCCTACATACAAACAGACATTTTTGCTGGAGGACCAGTTTGTACCAGGATTACTGTGGAAGCTGTAAAGTACTTGTTTTACAGTCAGCTGTGGTAGTATAATATTAAAGAGAATTTACAGCCAGAGGCTGAGGCAGTGGTTACCCAGGAATGCTGTAGACCTGAACAGAAAGAAATTAACTCTGTAAACTCTAGAGCTGGGTGCAATGTCCATAGCAATAGGCATATACCAAAGTGCTGAGATCCTGTGAAATATGTACACATATTCTCACCCTCTATGAATTGTGACATTTTGCCTGTGGTCCTGGCACACTGCTCTCCACTAAGGCAGGGCTGTGTAACAGTACTTTTGTTGGAAAAATTATATATCTGAAATCACATTTTGCTTAAAACATGCAGTCCATGCCTCATCTCTCCTTATTATGGAAGTGTCTCTGGCAGTTTTCTCAAATGAAGAGAAGTCACAAAGAAAAACCAGTTGTCCTGCCTAAGACACACTGTCAACACCCTCAAGGTAACAAGTGTGATCTTTAAGCCCCTGCATGTACAAACCTCAGTGTCTGGGCAGGTTTTGAACTGAAACTTCTGCAAAATCCTCAGCAGAGTCATTTTTGTCTCCAACAAACCCATTTTCATGCCAAGGCACCCGCGGGGTCCTGCCCCAAAGGGCAAGTATGCAAAGGGATGTCGTTCCTTCTTTGCCTCCTCTGTAAACCTAGAAGGTGCAGAGATGGAAAGCAGTTCAAGAAATGCTTTTTGCTTGATTCCATGTCTTTAATTTAAATCTCAAAAGCTGGTTATTTCAATTGATCTTAATGGACAGGTCACAGGGACTATTGATAGATATGTGCTGATATCCTAAGTAAAAAGGTAATTGACTTATTGTCAGCTGGTGACTTCAGGAGAGGACATGGAGATACGAGTTTTACTTCCAATCTATCTTTAATGAAAATTTCTCATCTCTTTGGATGCATTTTCCAAGAACTTTAGACTGCTAAGGTCCAGAGAACTCATGCAGGGTAGAAAGAGATGAGAGGTAATACAGACTATTTGGAGCTTTGGGAAAAAAATTGTGTATTTCCACTAATTCCATCCCCATGCTTTGAAAAGCTAAATAAGATTGAGCCACTACTCCAAAAAGTACTGCAGAGGCCCCTAATTTGAGATTGAAGGACCATTAGCTCATGTACTAAGCAATGTTGCATATCCCATGCAAACAGGTTCAGATAATTCTTGCCTTGCTCATCCCCTTATAACATCCTGGCAAATTTAAAGTCTCCCTTGTTTTACTCCTACTGCCAATTTCAAAATGAAATAATTTTTTGGGGGGGGTGGGGGGGGGGGTGGGGGGAAGGCTGTAGCTGAATTATTTTATTTTATTTTTGTTATGCTCTTATTTTATAATTCTTGCTAACATTACCAACTATACAAGCTGAGCAGAGTGCTAGTAATTTTGGATCATTCCTCAGGGAAAGTTCAAAAGGAAATTAATCTCAGATTCATACTAAACAGCACTGTGTGAGTCAAGGGGACTGCAGCCCCTACTAACCATTTTACCCTTTCATACTACTGGTTAAGTGGTGAATAAACAAGAAAACATTTCTAGATAAGCATTGCTAAAAATGCAAAGACTTCCAGTTGCTGCTAAGATTCCTCTCCAGCAAAATCTCTGGGCTTCTCTAACCCTGGCATTGCTCTTCTTCATGGCCAAAAGAGTCTAATGGAGCATATGCCTAGATTTGTTCCAGAAGGAGCATTAAGCAAACCCACCTACACCACCACATGTGTTGTCTTACTGGCAAAGATGGTTCTGGGCTGCCAGCCTCACACCCAGTTGTTTATGGAGCAGGCACTTCTTTTCTTAGTAAACTTCTGAATGTAGTGGTAGCTTAAAATGCATCTGCCCACTAAACAGCTTAAAAATATAGCTGCCCCCAAAACTAAACTGTGCTTCCACACCACATCAGCTGAAAGCTCAGCCCAGCACCTGTAACACAAGGCAGGTACAAAACCACAGTTTGACAAGGTTCCCCCTACCCACTGAAGATATAAAAGCTCCATGTGAAACTGTCTTGCCGAGCAAGAACCAAGGATCCTAACTTAAAGACAGACAGCAAATTACCAGTGGAAGATGAAGTAGATTCCCCACTCACAGAGTACCCACACTGTTGTATTTCAGATAAAAAGGGTGCTCTAAATCAGTGAGCAGCTGGATAAGTTTTCCAGGTACAGCCAAGCTAGTGAATATACTGTCCCATTTCAGAATTTCTGCAGCCAGAAGCAACATTATTCACAGGATCTCACTTGGAAACACGTCTGAGTTATATAAAAGTATACTAAATATTTCCATGGTGAAATTTCTTGTATTTTTGATATAGAAACTTCTAGTCCTGCATTTTGAACTTCTGTGACTACCAAAAAACCTCTGCCCCAGTTCAACCATGACCAAACTTCACACCTCTGTGGGATACACCACTATCATCATTTGTCTGATTAAATAGAAATAGCATGTTTTTATGGTTTAAATAAAACTGTGCTCCTCTTGGTGGAAATGCTGCTTTGGATGAATAGCGGGTGACTGTGGCTGTGAAAGAGCAGCAGAATCTGATGCCTGCACTGGACAGGTTGGAGTTCTGTGCCCACAGGCCCAAGTAAGAACCTCAAACTAAAGGTGAAAAGCACTACTCCACACACCTCTCAGGAATGAACTTCTCAGGCTCTGGCCAGAACTCAGGGTCATGGTGAAGGTGTCCAACTGCAGTTTCAATGACAGCTCCAGCTGGAATATGCTGCCCCAGCACTATGCAGTCTTTAGCTGCTTCCCTAGTGAATCTGAAAAAAAAATCATGCATCCCAGATGATTAATAAAGGTTAAAAACACAGCAGGGGAGATATATAAAAGTATCTGTCTTCATCTGACCAAACAACTTCTGGGGTAACACTTTCTCATAGATAAATACAACAGCTGTTGCTGATGCCAGTGTCTTCTCAGGTTATAGTCATCTCCACTTAGAAGTCCAAAGCTCCAGTCCAGGTGTTTGATTTTTGCTCCTTCACAGGAAAGCATCTCTGGTTGTGTACTGTTTTCCAAAGCATTAACTGCTAAACAGCAATTTTATTGTTGATGTTGGGTTTGGACTAATTTTTTATGAAAATTGCTGATTAAATGTGTCAGTCATCTCTAATAACAGGTAGAAAGAGTATGCTGGTTTGCCTCCGTAAAAAAAAAAGGTTATTAAATAAAGATTTGAGTCTGTTTATTTGAGAAGCTCCCCACTCTTGGTGCAGCACCCGAATCTTAGCAAGGGATAATTTTAATATTAGGGCTGAGTGTTCTGCTGCTGCTGATGCTACTCTGGAAATACAACCAATTCACAAGCCTTTAAAAACCTCATTTCACATATATTCATCAAAGGCAGGCACAATGTTAACAACAAAACTCTGTTGTTTTCTCCCAGCCTGTGGTGATAAGTGTCCTTAGGAACCTCATCATGACAAGACTGAGAAAAGCTGCCTGCCAAAGCCCAGCTTGACTCTTGCAAAAGATTGTATGTGGGTGTGCATGTGTGGTGGTAGGTTCTGATCCAGATCTTTTGGTGCTTGGGTGGTCACTGCAGATCCCAAATCAGTCCAGACCCAGGTGGGTGCCCTGCTGTCTCAGTCTGGGAACTATTCTCTGCCACCAGCTGCAAGTACAAGGGAGAGGCAATGTACAGGAACTTCCTTTGCTGCTTCCCACACTCTGCTTAAAAATTGAACAAAGATTTCAGCTTCAGGGCTGTCAGTCTGGTATCATTACAGAAACACATTCTTTTCTTTCTGTCACCCATCTCCCTTTTTCATAGACAAACAAATAACAGAGGCTCCAAACATGGAACAAAACACTGGCATGCAAAA